AATGAGTTCACCGAATACGAAGATTAAATGTAACTATTTGACATCAGATAGTTTGTATCATCTGAACCAGAGGAAATGTTGATAGAAATCATGAAAACAAATCGGTATACGTCGAGATCCTGTGCTCAACTCTTCTTGTATCGTTCAAAAATAGTGAAATACAGACATAGGGCAAATTAAAGACAGTAGTTAAGTAGCCTTATCCTGGATCGACGTGAAGAACCTAGAAGACCTGGATTTCGCGCGTGGATGAATTATGTTTGATGTCACACAAAATCGAAGACTTACAAGCGAAAACCGACAAACTCGTCGAAGAAGCAGCAAAGACAGGACTCCAGGTGAACATAGACAAGACGGAGGTTATGAAAATAACCAACGAACAACAACAACAACAGCAGCAACATCCAGCGCCAATCATCATCAACGGGAGGGATTTAAAAGAGGTTACTTCATTCACTTATCTAGGTAGGGAGCATTGTCTCAACTACAGGAGGAACGGACGAGGATGTCAAATCGAGAATTGGGAAGGCGAGAAACACATTCATCAACCTGAAACCAATCTGGAAATCTTCGTCGCTCAGCCTGCATCAACAACAAAATTCGGATTTTCAATACAAACGTCAAGTGAGTCAGTTCTTCTATACGGATCACAAACTTGGCGGGTCACAAAGAATATTTCCAACAGCCTGTTGCAGACATTTATCAACAACTGTCTTCGTTCTATACTGAAGATCAGATGGCCGGAAAGAATCACAAACAAGAAACTATGGGAATGAACAAAACAGGAACCAATCGCCCAACAAATATGCAGGAGAAAGTGAAGATGGATTGGACACTCGCTGAGGAGGCAGCTGGGTGACATCGCGCGTCAGGCCAGTGCTCGAGTGGAACCCGAAAGGGAAGCGGCGAGTGGGATGTCCAAGGGTGACATGGAGGAGATCGTGTGAACAGGAACTGAAACAGTATGGATTAACATGGATGCAGGTGAAAAATACAGCAGAAGACAGAAGCAAGTGGAGGCGTGCAGTTGAAGCCCTATGTTCCACTAGGAACCCAAGGGAACAATAATATAATAATAATAATAAGTTAAGTAGCCTAGACACAATAACACTATAGCAACGCGTTTGTAAGGCTGAGACAGCTGGCTGCAGAATCCATAGATAGCAGAATTCAGAATTACACACAGACACTTTACAATGAATAATTTTTTTAATTCAAGGTACTCTAATCATTAAAACAATTGTTTACTTTCATAATATCTGCAAATTAATTAGAAAATAGGTATGAATGATCTTATTTGAGTGGTGAAATTCACGGAACACATACTTGTGGTCATTCTTAAACAATTTTTCCAGATATTTTATTTAGATTTAATTATGCCGACTTCCTAATTTTAAAGCTTTTAACCCTATTAACTGTAAATCGTTGAACAAGACCCAATTATATTGTTTCCCAAGTCTTTTTTCATTCTCTTACATGGAACATAGGGGGGCTTGAAGTATTAAGCTTTGAAGTCTCAGTAGTGTGGCGGTGTTATTTTTCTTTACGAGGTGGGATGGCTAACCTTATGTCTAACCTCTCCTCATTTCTGGGCTTACTACCTGCCGGTAATTAAACTAACTAGGTGGTGAGGTTAGAGAATGCGTAGGCTGCGAATCAAACCGACATCATGTGCGTGTGGCTGACGTACACTGTCTACCACTGAACCAACACCACCACCACCACCACCAGCGTACAATTATCAAAGTTACTCGCTTCTCACTGTTTCTTTCTTCAAAAAATAAAAGATTTCATAATCATACACATCGTCTATGAAAAAGCACATGATAGCTGTTTCACACGTACATATATATATATATATATACATATATATATATATATATATATACAGCTAGGCATACCGACACAACTTCGTTCTTGAACCCTAACTAAAAATAGGAACATGTTTTTTAAAGAGAAATAAGGTAATTGAAGTGAGTTTTACCTATAAGAAGGTAAAATGATTCTTTTTCGACTATAACAACAGTCCATAGTGAGAATCTGTAGTAAGAAAAGAAGATTAAGGGACCATTGAGGTACATCTGACGATCTATACATACATATACACAATGATAATGATAATCATCATTAGTATGTGATATGTATTATACCTTAATTAACAGTAAATCAATATCCCATAATAATGCACACATAACTATTATAGAAACTAATTCATCCAGTGTGGTCATCAGTGTAACATTTTAAATTTAAAAAACAATGCTCGTTTTTTTTACATCTAAAGCAGAGTTGGGTTACGTGTATAAAATGAAACAATTCTCACACATTCTATCTCTACTTAATTTAATGACGTTTGGTTTATGTCTTTCCTCTTTTTTCTTCAATACAAAAAAGATGGAAAAGAAAAGACAGAACAATAGGCTATTGAAAGTGTGATGATGATGATGACGTTGATATTAGTGAAGATAACAACACCAACTCTAAACTTGCAATTATTGAGAAGACTTATAGACAATAAGATGAACTGAGAATCAACCTATGAAGGGTTACATTTGAACCACCAAAGTTAGGTCACAACTTTAGACTTTGAGATATCTTCAAGTATTACTTTCGTAGGTAACTTTGTTTGATTGATTGGGGGATTTCATCATGAGCTGATATCAGTTAGAGAACCATTGGAAAACCACCTGGGAGTACTGGACAGCTGTTTCGTCCTAGTTTGGGACTCTTCATCAGTACGCTGGGTTCGAAGCCTGGCGGTGGGCGCGTATTACTGAAGGGTCCCAAACTAGGACGAAACAGCTGTCTAGTACTCCCAGGCTTTCCATTGGTTCTCTAACTGATGTCACCTCATGATGAAATCCTCCAACTTTGTGATATATTTTACTAGTTTTTTTCCTTCCTAAGCTTTGAATCTTTCCTCCTTGCTAAGGCTGACTATAACAGTCTGGGCGTTAAATTTAAGTGATTTTTGACAAGGCAGTCTTGCTGGTAGTAGTGATGTCAACATGAGTGGAGCATGAGTAAATACAAAAACCAATTATCAGAATACTGGTTAGTTTCAGATAGAAAAAAAGTGTTTAAAATGTGTTAATTAGAGATAGACATTTTAGTATAATAACATAGATGCGCAACAGAATAAAACCGACAGTTCCATTATAGATAAGATTTTATTTTGATAAATCACACAGTGTTATACAGTATTATTAACTGATGACGTTAATATTACTGTCTAACACTGTGTGATTTATCAAAATAAAATCTTATCTATAGTGGAGTTATACTCTACCACAGTGCCCAAGTTTTATACGTATATCAATAAAACCGACAGTTGTCCTATCACATCAGGTTTTTCTTATCTCCGTCAAGTACAATGAACATTTGTATTATCTAATGTGTTTTGGATGAAATTAGTGAAATAGAGGCAGATTTATTTAACCAATGCTCGTAAGCATTATGTGGAAGGGCCTAAAGCTAATCTGAAGCACCAACATTCTATCCACACCTATACATGAATTCAAAACACTGTCTACCATATTCCTTATTGCTTTTGGTTTTCCCTTTGCATTCTTCTCTAATTATCTTTAGTGCTCTCTTCTAACACTTTTATTTGCATCACTCTGTGTTTCAGTGAATCTTAATACCCAAACCAACTCAATGCCGATATATTGAAAACTAATTTATAGTGTAGCAGTCAAACAATTCAGTTCTTATTATTATAATCTAATGAGATGTTTGCAAACTGTTCAGTTGAGGTAAAATTCATTAGGAATTCCCTGAAAAAATCAAAAATATGTGATCCAACTAACATTATGAATGATGTCAAATTCGTTAGTAAGGTGATACAACGTAATACGCTTGACTGGCCTAGTTATCTGGAGACCCTTCATCAATCAATAATGCACACACCAACCAGATTCACCATGTCACCTAAACACTATACATGCCCAGACATTGTCGAAGCATCTGCACAAGAAGCCGACATGTCAACCTGAGATCGAGCACTTCGGTTCCATCAATCGACAGGAAAGTCTCAAATTCAATTAAATAATTAATATGACCCGTTGCACAAGAGGTGGCTATCGTGGCCCAAGTTGTCTAGTGGATAACGCTTTGGCATTTGAAACTATGGGCACTGGATTCGAGCCTCGGTGGGAACATCATCACTCACTGCGGAATGCAGGTACATCCAGTGACGAGTCCCAGACAGGACGAACTGAGCATCCTGGATTCCACTGCTAGTCACCACCCACCAATTAACTATACAGACACTTTGATAAACTCATCGGCTGATCGGTTCAGTTAAGAAAGTCAAATTATTTTCATCTTTTTTAATTCTATTCAGCTTCATCTTGAGCGACAAGCTGGTATAGGTATATCCAAATTAGTTATGATTAGTCTTGGTACTGAATGAATTTTATTAATCGATTGATATATTTCTCATAATAAAGGCGATATTGTAGAGACTCGTCGAAATAATATTCATTCATGTATCGTGCAGTTTTATGTTAAAGTGATAAGAATGTCTTAAAAATCAAATGCCCCTCTGATGTCTGAAACGCTATTGAACAAACACACTGGTAGAACCGAAGTCACAAGATATTAATTAAACAGGATGAACAGACACCAAAAGTTTAGTGAATTCTCAAACTAATTACATTAATAAAGGTTCTTAGTTAATGGCCTACGGCATTAAAAGACGCCATAAAGTATGCTTAATAAAAAAACCTTCTAAAGGAATAATCATTTTATTACTACATCTCTATTTACAAGAAATTGACGATTAGTTAAAGCATTCAAAAATTCCAACATTACTGTTTACAAGAAGTTCAATTTCGCAGGTATGATTACATTAATTATTTAATTATACTACTTAACATGAAATTACTTTCCAGGCTAATTCTCACAACTACAACAAAAAATACATTTCATCACTTTCATATATAAACATTTTGTGTGAAATAATAATAATAATAATAATAATAATGCTCGAGCAAATTTACCTTATCCATATGTAGATAACCATAATTGCATTCATCTAGTGTAGATGTATACCCGAAATCACACAGTTTTGCAATATATCCCTCTGTGATAACAACATTCCGTGCTGCAACATCTCTGTGGATGAGCTTCAAGAATAAAAAGTACAAGATAATAATGCATGCCGTCATATATATATACAAAAAACAGAATACAAGCAAATCAACATAAACATTAAAGTGACCAATTTTTGTGAAACGTCACAGTAGAAAGAAATGCACAACTGATTCGACTGATGCATGCTAGCTGATGACTTTCAACGGCATTGAACAATAGTAGATTTGAAAACAGTAGATTCTCTCTACTCTGTCCTGGTTCGGAATTCCTCGGCAGTAAGAACCAGTGGCCTTATCACAGGGACTGTGAACCCAGGATGTTTAGATTAAGAGATGAGCGGGTTTACGCATTATGAAAAAAAATACTCTACCACAGTGCCCAAGTCCTTTTTTTCTATATGAGCGAGTTCACCATTTGGCTACTAGATCAAACTGTAACAACAGAAGACAAGGGCCAGACAACAGATCCTTTATTAAGGAAAATCAACACATATTTATAGATTTTAATGTACATTATTGTAGATTATTGTTACTATGAAATACAATCTTTTGATTGGTTGTTTCTCACAGAAAGTTAACCTTACATCTCTTTGTGGCTGGCTGTGTCAGATCATCCATATGCTAACTGTATCCACCTACGCAAGGCCTTTGTTCTCATTTTCTCACCACCAATATTGGGGACATAAACATTGACGTCAATTACTGTCTACCAACTTTGGCTAGCAGCCAGCTCTCACCACAAAACCGTGAAGGATTCTGAATTTTGAAACTCTTAACGATTCATTACATACTCCAACCATCGCTGAATATCATTACTGAGTATCTGTTCTCATAGTAGAAATTTGTGGACCCCAACAGTGACTTCTTATTAAAACTTCAGAAAGTTCATCCCGAAGTCAGTCATGAATATGCTTTGTAAGCTGAAAGTTACATGTGTGCGCTGTTGAAGAACCTCAAGTTGGAACGAAACAGCTATCCAATAACTGTCTGATTTTCAACAAGTCCTCTCTAGTAATTAACCATAATCTTCTCATAGATATAATAAATAAACGCAGAATCGTAACTATAATATTGATGGCTATACTCTAATTGTCAGTAGTATATATTCACATAAATTTATTCAATTGTGGCTTGTTTCGTAAGTCCACATATGTGAATGAAATAGGACGTTAAGTCGAATAATACAGCTGATCTGATCTGTGTTTAGTGATCACACACTTTAATTGGAACTAGTCTGTTAGTTCCAATTAAAATTTTATCGAATTAGCTTTTAAAATCTCGAAACATGTTAGTTATTTCGTAGGAAGATGGGTGACTCTAAACTTTAGCAGCCCAAAACAACCTTGAGAACGGATGAATGACCTTGAGCAGGCAATCAGCTGACTCGCAATGGATGCTGTACATCGTTTGCGGTGCAAATTCGCTCCAGAGTTTGTTTTTGATTACTGTTTAGAGAACGGGCTGATAGCGAGATCGAAAACTTGCCAGTGCGGAGGTGTAATGCATATACAAAGATACACGAGATGCATCGACGGTTATGTTTACCGTTGCAGGGAGTGCAGATGCAGAAAATCGGTCCGAGAGGGTATGTCGTTATTTTTTAGTTTATAGATTCCTTAGATACATTTTTCTCGAAATCTCATTTACCTCTAACGAAGATACTGATGATGTGTCACAACTGGGTTCTAAGAAGACCAGTAACAGCAACCGCATATGAGACAGAAATGTCAGAAGTTTCTGCAGTACAGTGGTACCAATACTGCAGAGACGTGGTGTCGTGGAAAATGAACAGATTGACCCAAGTACTCGGCGGAGTTGGTGTTACTGTTCATGTGGATGAGACGGTGTTAATAAAAAGGAAATATAATAGAGGGAGAATGACTTCAAATCAACAATGGGTGTTGGGCATATATGACACCACCCTACACAAAGGATATATAGAAGCGATTCCTAATCGCAGTGCGAATGTATTGTTGCCCATTATCCAACGTTTAGTGCTGCCGGGAACAACTATACATACGGATGAGTGGAGTAGTTACAGTCAATTATCAAATCTTGGCTATATTCATGAAGTTGTCAACCATACAACCGGATTCATAAATCCTTTCAATGGAACTCATACTAATTCCATTGAAAGTTTCTGGAGTCATCTCAAAAAACGGATAAGATCGGTGAACGGATCAAGAAATCTAATGATTTACAGTTATCTCGACGAGTTTATGTATAGGACTTGGTTTAACATGACTTTAAAGACTCCTATGTCAAATTGGGAGGTTTTTTTGCAACATATACGAGAACGCTATCCTTTGTAACTATTTTTTAACATTGCTTTACTTGTATATAAACGATTTATTAAAATTATGCGCCGTTCATTTTAAGCCTTCTGATTGGTTAAAGTTGTCCTTGTCAAGGTCATTCGTCCGTTCGTAAGGTAGTTTCCGTTTGGGCTGGTAAAGTTTAGAGTCACCGGAAGATGTTTGTTTAATAACCTGAATTCGGGAAAACTAAGTGAAACAGTGGAACAGGATGTACAAGACTTTGGTTCCTAAGTATAGTCAACACATGAAAGATTGAAAATACAGTGTGACTAGGCATCAGAAACAGTAAAAGCCTCAATTTAATGCAAACCGTAATAGGTATCTGTTTTTGAATTGGTTTAAACATTTTTAGAAGTTCCCTCTTTTCGTGTTATCTGAAAAACTCAAACTCATTTAATTTCCATAAACACATAAACCATCCATGATTGCTGGTCAAAAGTATTCACAATCACTTGTTTTGTTCATTTTTGACGCAGCAAACTAAGCAACATACTTCAAATTAATTCAGCTCGAAATATTGAGTCATTAAAATCAAGTCGTGACCAGTGAGGTCCAACTAGATGGATGGATGTCCCACCAACGACAATGGTTGGGGTCGCGCTAAATCACGAATTGGTAGAAGTTAGAATTCATGGGCTGGCCGTTGAATCGGGTCCCAGTGGCTGAATGGTATACGAGCTTGCCTCTATTAACCGGAAGGTCCTGGGTTCGAATCCCAGTGAGTGCGTACTACCGATGATTCCCAAACTAGGATGAAACAGCAGCTGTCCAGTACTCCCTGGTTTTCAATGGTTCTCTAACTGATATCAATCCGTGATCAACTCGTAAAAACATAACTAACCCTTACAAACCAAACTATAGAAAAAAAACCTAAAAGCCATGCTAATAATTGCTAACGGTGATGAAATCGTGTACCATCGATGATTCGAAGGTAACACAGTCATCAGTGGAGTTGACAATTTCTGTATTAGTTGTATCCAATGTAAGGAAAATGCCCTACAGACTACAGAATTCCTTGAATACGCTGTAATGGTTGTATCAGTGGAATATAAAACACGGTACTTACTCATGTCATGATGACTATAATAGCTAATAATTTAAAAAATATATATATAACAATAATTATTATAACTATTATAAACAAACACTTACTGATAACGATTCTAAATACAACAAAGCATCGGTTATATTTAATGCAAATGTTAACAGATTTCCTATTTGCTCTTTCACAGAAAATCCAGGCAGTAATTTTTCCAATTCCTCTAATTTAAGTAAATTGACATAACGTGGATTTGTTATCTGATCAATGAAGATATGATGATCACTGAGATCAATTCCAGGTGGTCGAAGATTTCTGAGAAAATCTCGCAAATTCCCATGTATAGCTAATTCAAGGAGTATAAATGGTTGACCTATAATAATAAATAACAATAACAATAATAGTAATAATGATAGTAAGTAATTATTTGATATAAAGAAATAATTAATTAAACGTCTGTCTTACAGATCTTTCAAGTATCACTTCTAAATACACATCATTGCTAAGATTTTGTTAGTGTTTACCAGCACGATCCTCACCCAGACAACATACACGCATGTTCAGGGGTAGGATATCTATTACACCTCTGAAATTAACCGGAGGCAAATAACTCGAGATGATGAGCTTCTCTATGAGGAAGACATAAGCAGACTGGATTCTATTCAGTGGAAATTAAAACAGTTTTAGTGTGTACACGAATTAATTGTCTAAATATCTACTGTAACACATGACAGTTTCAAAGAATTTTCTCCCAGTTACACATTTGTGTTTCTAGTACATGTGTGTACATAACTGCCTCAAAATGCTTCACTGTTTTGCAGTCAAGATTTATGGACACTTGTTGAGACTGAATGAACATTTGAAACGTTGTATTTCTGATTTGATTTAATTCAAGAACTAAACAATACTATTCAAATGTCATTTTTTGATTATGTTGCAAATAAATCCCCTGAGGATAATACTTAAAATATCAGCCTCAACACGTTTACGAGATCACAAACACATTGACGCAAAAATGGAGATGGATTAGGAAGATGTATGTATGCAGTTGACTTTCATAATCGATCTGACCATAAAGTGTTTACAGCACCCTTTGACAGTCCATCAACTTCAGATCACCTATGATACACTGCTTTGTAGATTTTTATAGTATACATTAATGCAGACGGTTACAACGTCCTATAGCTACAATGTTGCATCCGGTAGTCGAAACGCTACACCTACTCATAATACAAATACCAGTCATCTTAAATTATCGAAACCACTAGTCATTTTTCTGATATACAAGCAGTTAAAACATTTTATTTAGTGGATGGTAAATGGCAATGGAATCCAAGATGGATATTTCGTTCTTTGTCGGACTCGTCATCTGTATATGCCTGCAATCATCAGTGAGTGGTGGGGTACCCGATGAGACTCGAACACAGAACATATCGTTTTAAACACCAAAACGTTATTCAACTTGGCCATCTGGGCCATGATTGCCACCTCTCTTGTAAAACCAGTCTAACAAAAACACTGAACATTTTAGCAAATAAGTCTAGACATTTTTCTGGTTTTCTAATTGAAATTAACTGTGGAACAACTATAACTATTTATACATTGACCATTTGAACTCCTTTACTTCCAAATCAAATGCCTCTCTGTCTCTCTAACTATGTAAAAATCATAAAGGCTAACTGAGAAAATTATTCATTAAATTGATTCAATAATAATTTGTTAATTATTTTCCTTGATTTGAAAATTATATTGATAACTCAATAAATATTACTGTATAAATGCAAAATCAGTTCGACTCCACCACTTTATTAAGTTATTCGTTGTTAGATAGGCTTTTTATGACTTAGTAGTATCGGCGATTCAGTGGTTGAATGCTAGTCAATTTCGCTTATGGTTCGGGTTCGAGTCCGATTCCCGGGCGACCCACTACCTCTAAACCTCGCCAAGTTTACTAGCCATTAGTAAACCATGAAAAGAGGAAAAGTTGGGCATCTCGACCCAGTCGAAACAACACTGCCTCTACTGAAACTTCAAAGATTCGAGCCCTATGGTTCCAGTAGGGACGTAAAGAGTGAAAAACCGAGTATCAGGTAAAATAATAATTGGTATGCAAAATGATTTCGCAGTTTGAACTTCGAATAAACAGCAAGAATAAATGCCGTGTAAAATAACACTACAGTACGAAATTTCATTCCAGAGAATCGGGTATAACGTAGTCTAATATTTGTTTAAGTGTAAACATAAATGTGTTTGAATAAGGCAAAGACCCATTCAATAATATCCTGCCTATAGTGTTTGTGTCACCACGGAGACATTTACACAGTTATTATGCTTTCCACTAGCTATCATC